CTCCCGCCCCTTCCCCCTACTCCTTCCCCCTTGCTCCTGCCCCGCTCCCGTCTTTTTCCCTCCCCGCAGCCGCGCCCAGCCGAGCCCCGCAGTCGCCCCCTGCCACGTGTGCTCTTCCGATCTCGCCCCTTCCCCCTACTCCTTCCCCCTTGCTCCTGCCCCGCTCCCGTCTTTTTCCCTCCCCGCAGCCGCGCCCAGCCGAGCCCCGCAGTCGCCCCCTGCCATTTGAGTGCGAGAGAGAGAAAGAGAGAGAGAGAGACATAAGAAAGTTCCCCGGCAAGAACACCCACACCCGCACGCACACCCAGCTGCCTGTCCCCGATCACGATGGCCTCCCTGCGGTCTGCCTCCTCTAGTGCCTCCTCCCTGGCCATGTCGCCCTCTGCCTCGGCCGCGTCCAACGGCCATGCTGGCCTGGCCGGCAGTGAGGCCTCCGGTGCCGAGCACGCCTTCCCCCCCTCGACCCCGGTGGAGGCCGTGGTGTCCGAGCTGTCAAAGACCGTCATCTTCATCAAGGTGCGTCTGCGTGGGGCGGAGCCTGTGCCGTGTTCTGTGTGGCGGGGGTTTCCTCTTTGTTGACGCGATCTGCCTCTTACCCTCGCCTCCGCTCATTTTCCCGCCCCCCCCCCCCACACACACAGCTGAGCCAATCCTCCCGGCCACACGAGCGCGGCTTCTCGGTTGTTCGCCAGGAGCACTCGCTCCATGCCGCCGGTGTTCCCTGCTATGCGGTGGCTTGGTCGTCACCGAACAAACGTTCACATCAGACTCTCATCGAGATCCCGATGATCATCGGTGTCCACGAGGGCCAGTACCTGGGCCAGTGCGTGCTCCTATATCTCCCCCTTCGTCATTCGGGCCCCATCTCCGCCCCCCCCCCCCCCCAGCCAGGCCGACCTGTCTCCGGGTCCGTCTCCTGCCCCTGCCTGGCAGGAGCGCGCCCACCGAAACCGCGAAGCCCGGGGTCGGGGCATCCGCCGGAGCCGGCCTCCAGGGGGGACGTCGCCGGCGACTTCCCCGGCGACTTCCAGCTCACCCCACCCGGCAGGCCTCTCGGCATGAGCGCCGGAGCATCAGCCGGCAAAGGACCGCCCCAGGGCCCAGGTGGGGGCTGGGCCGTCCGGGGCGTCTTGGCCTGCCGGGCGACACCGCCCGCCACTGGTCATCCCCCCCCCCCGAGCTCCCCCTCGCCAGAGAAAGAGGGCAAAAGGTCAAACAAGGCACCCCGGGCAACGGGCCCGGGGGAAAGGATGGCCCGACCGCCGGACAGCGCGCCCGCCAAAGAGCCGCGCCCTGGAGCAGCTGCACGAACGCACCGCACCCAAGGGCCAGGGCTACGCGCCGGGGCGGCCCTTGGGGGGGGGGGGGGGGGGGCCGCCAAATGAGGACAGACAGGGCAGGTCGCCCCACAGGACGCATGTCCCGTCAGGTCTTCGGCCCTGGGCACAGGCACACCGGGCGAGGACCCCCCCCCCGGCGCAGGGCCCGGCAGAGCATTCCCCAATTGACGAAACGGCAACCCGGGGCCGCCGGGGCGCTCGCGGCCCGCACAGTGCCCGCCGGCGCCGTCGCCCCCGGGCGCGGCCATGTACGAGCCACCGGCGTCGACGGCGGGCGCATGTATATTGCCGCCCTGTCTGCGCCGGGTCCCGGCGTCCGCCGCGCCGGCGTCGCCCCCTTGGGCGCCAATGTTCCTGCCTCGGGCCCACGCCCGGCGGACCGGAGCGCTGGAAATGAGGAGGGCACATTCTTTGGTCCAACCGGAGGCCACTGGCTCACCCATGTCTGGGTTACCCCCGCCCCCGCTTCCCCCCCCCCCCCCCCGACTTCGAAAGGGGGACCGCGCAGGCCAGCCTTTCGGACGTGTGGAGAATACACACCCATCGGGGCCGGCCGCGGCCGGGAAGGCTCCGCCCGGGCGCGCGCGCGCGACTCCGGCTGGCCCCCGGCCCTCGTCCGCCACATGCGGCGTAGCCGGGGCGACGCGGGCCGGAGGGGGGGGGGGGGGGCGCGGCGTGGAATTTCTCTGGGATTCTGCCACCGGGGAATCCGCCTGGAATTCGGCCATATTGGCCCTCCGGCTGAACGGCTAACCGCCCCGGGGCCGCGCATTCCAGCTCACCCGCCCTCTCATGCCCCCCCCCCCCCCCCC